ACTGCGATCTCTAAACATAGCCTAATAGGTGTATGAATTTAATTTTATATGATTTTATTGGGTTAAAATTCAGACGAGTATAAACATAGTTATTGTATAATATTAGTGCATTGTGGCAAGACAAGAGCTTTTACTTTACTTTAATCGTCGTCGCCACTGATCGGCTCGTTAGCCGCTTGGGCGATCAGTCACGTCTCTGATAACTTTTCCTTTTCATTTATCCTCTTCACCATAAGATCGGCTCGCTAGCCGCCCGGACGATCGGTCACGTCTCTCTCACGCACTGTTGGCAAATACTGGGCATGCACCGGCTCCTGAATGTACCTGAATCTGCTCCAGTGTTGGTCAAGTCTTGTCTTGAAAGAGCTCACACTCGGTGCCGTCACAACACTCTCTGGTAGATTGTTCCAAGAGTTTACAACCCTCACTCCGAAAAAGTTTGCCCTCACAGTTTTCTGGACTTGCGGCTTCTTCAATCTTGAGCTGTGAGTCACAGCTCAAGGGGTCACAGCCTGTGACCCCTTGTGGGGCGAGCGTCAGCCAGTTCTAAGTAAGGACACTCGACTGAGTAGTGCCCCCTGAGATGCTTATACACCTCAACTAAGTCACCCCTTGCCCGTCTGTAGTAAAAGCTAGACAAATTCAGGCGCTCCAATCGCTCAGGGTAGCTGAGGTGCCGAAGTGCAGGCACCAGTCTGGTGGCCCTCCCTTGAACATTCTCAACCAACTGACAGTCCCTAGCATATCTCGGGGACCAGACTGGGTGACAGTGCTCCAGATGGGGAAGCACTTCACTCTTGAAGATCGTTACGAGGGACGGACCGTCTAGATATCGGAACGACCTTCTTATAAGACCCAATAATTTATTTGCCTGGTTTAACTTCTTCTCACAATGGCCCGAGAACTTCAGCTCTTTGTCAACATACACACCTAGATCCTTCTCACATTCAGTCTCAACTAGTGCAGTTTCATCATCCCGTTGGGACATATGATACGCCTCCTTACCGTTGGTACACCCCAGGTGCATCCTCTTACACTTCGTGACATTGAATCTCAGCAGCCATTTCTTCGACCCTTCTTGGAGCCCACTGAGGTCCTTCTGCATTCTTCACAGATTGTTACATCAATACATACTTTTGGCATCAATACATAAGCAATGACCTTTTGTAACCCTTTAAATTACATACACAATGAAATTTTATTCCTTTTCTTTTTCTTTTATCCTCTTCACCAATTGATCGGCTCGTTAGCCGCTTGGGCGATCGGTCACATCTCTGTTACGCACTGTTGGCAAGTACTGGTCATGCACCGGCTCCTGAATCTACCTGAACCTGCTCCTATGCTGGTCACGTCCAGAAAATGCCTCAAATTTCACCATATCATAGTAAGTTCTTTCTGTTTAATATACCGGGAAGTTGCCACTGTGGGGTACGGGATATTGGTTCACAAACACTCAGGATGGGATGGAGAAAGTAAACTCACAATGTGCTCTCTGTATACATGTTGTATTGGATGTACAATTCAGCTTGGTGCTGGGAAGGCAGCATGGTTACAAGCGTTGAGTAGAGAGAGCTGGTTGGTGAGGGTGCTCAGAGGAGGACCAGCTTGTGGGTCGCCATGGTCGCCGGCTGGAGCAGGAGCCCCAGGCAGGTGCTGCTTGCTGGTGGCTGTAGGTAGAAAGAGATAGGTCACCACGAGGTGAGGTCTTATATAGCGGAGGTAGGCGTGGCTTAATAGTTGACCTCAGTCATGTAAGGCGGCGCAGGCTGGTGAATTCGAGGGGGTCGGCTAGTCAGCGACACACGGCGTTTGTAAGGAAGGAATCCACTACACCACCAACCCCCACTTTTGGGGGTTGGTGGTAAGCGCTCAATGACCGAGGATTCGCTCACACTTGCAAACCTGCAGTATCCTTTCTTATCTGCAGGTAGGACAACTTCCATCCCCATTATATTAGCCGATCAGTGGTGAAGAGGATAAAAGTAAAAGTAAAGTAAATCCCCAATCCGGTCTGGCTGCTCCAAGAGCTCCAGCCGGAACCACCGGCCTCAGGCAAAGGCCCGTTTCAGACTACGGTCTGATAATCTCAACAACAACAACAAACGGGGAAGTTAGGTAAGGTTAGGTAGGTTTGGTTGGTTAGGTCTGTTTTTCATAACCCACAAATGATAAGTAGCGTTTATTAAAAAAATATATATATTTCCACAAACTACAACAGTGTCCACTATAATATAACAATGAAAATCCGGAGTTTTTATAATTATTTCCAATCAATTTCGCTCGCGGGTTAGTCCTATATAATTACCATGTAGTGGATTCCTCCCCTACAAGCACCGAACCTTCTCGAATTCCCCAGCCTACGCCTCCACCGCCGCCCACGGAGCGGGGGTCAACTATCTACCCACGCCTACCCCCGCCTTATAAGGCCTGACACCGCTGTGACCACCCTTTTTTCTACCCAGTGCCACCAGCAAGCAACACCACCTCCGCGCCAGCCGTGCGGCTGCCGCTCCTGCCAGCGACCTTAGCGTCCCTCAAGCCGCGTGCCCTCACTCTGGGCACCCTCACCACCCAGCTCTCTCTACTCAACGCTTATTACCATGCTACCTACCCAGCAACAAGCTGCATTGTACATCCAATACAATATGTATACAGTGAGCACATTATGAGTTTCCTTTCTCCATACCATCCTGAGTGTGAACCAATATCACATAACCCTATAAATGGTGACCCCCCGGAGATTCGCACTCACACAGGATGGAGGTGAAGCTGATCACTCTCCCAGTCTTCAAGCAACATGGAAGACTGGCTTACCCACGCAGAGGCAGCTCTCATGGGCTCTACAATACTGTCTCTACAAAGCAGGTTAGGCACCCTAGAGCAGCTCTGCTACTCTAAGCAGACAACCGCTCCTCTTCCTGCCCCAAGCACCACGTCCTACCGACCCGAAGACACCCGTCCTGCCTCAAACGCCGCCCCCGGCCCAGCAGTACCCCCTGCTGCTCCTCCTGACGCGGACCCACACACCCCTCTTATCTCCCTCAGGCACCCCCTGCTACTGTCCTGCACCCTGCTGCTGTCGTGGACCCTGCTGCTGTCATGCACCCTGCTGCTGTCATGGATCCTCTTCCTGCTGATGCAGCCCCTGCTCCTGACCCATGCCCACACACCCCAGCAGGCGCATCTGAGGACTCTGTACCTGTCGCGAGGGAAGCACAACATTCATCGCCTCCACAACCCTCCTTCTCCCACAGATCTCGTGTATCTAGACAGAGCTGTCCCCCCTAGCGGCCGGCTCATTCACGCCCTCGTGTCTCACATGTGGTATGCACTGCCCGTTCTGCCTCACATGTGGCACGCAACCCTGCCAACCTCCAGCCTCCCGCCGCGCCCTGGAGGGGAAGGGGAGTATTGTAGTGAATTCCTCCCCTACAAACACCGAACCTTCTCGAATTCCCCAGCCTACGCCTCCACCGCCGCCCACGGAGCGGGGGTCAACTATCTACCCACGCCTACCCCCGCCTTATAAGGCCTGACACCGCTGTGACCACCCTTTTTTCTACCCAGTGCCACCAGCAAGCAACACCACCTCCGCGCCAGCCGTGCGGCTGCCGCTCCTGCCAGGGACCTTAGCGTCCCTCAAGCCGCGTGCCCTCACTCTGGGCACCCTCACCCCCTTACCCATCTGTAGTATAAGCTAGGCAAGTTCAGGCGCTCCAATCTCTCAAGGTAGCTGAGGTGCCGAAGTGCAGGCACCAGTTTGGTGGCCCTCCTTTGAACATTTTCAACCAACTGACAGTCCCTAGCATATCTCGGGGACCAGATGGGGAAGCACTTCACTCCTGAAGATCGTCACGAGGGACGGACCGTCTAGATATCTGAACGACCTTCTTATAAGACCCAATAATTTATTTGCCTGATTTACCTTCTTCTCACAATGGCCCGAGAACTTCAGCTCTTTGTCAACATACACACCTAGGTCCTTCTCACACACAGTCTCAACTAGTGCATTTTCTTCATCCCGTTTGGACATATGATACGGGCACCATTGTGGGGGAATGGGATATTGGTTCACACTCAGGATGGTATGGAGAAAGGAAACTCACAATGTGCTCACTGTATACATATTGTATTGGATGTACAATGCAGCTTGTTGCTGGGTAGGTAGCATGGTAATAAGCGTTGAGTAGAGAGAGCTGGGTGGTGAGGGTGCCCAGAGTGAGGGCACGCGGCTTGAGGGACGCTAAGGTCGCTGGCGGGAACGGCAGCCGCACGGCTGGCGCGGAGGAGGTGTTGCTTGCTGGTGGCACTGGGTAGAAAAAAGGGTGGTCACAGCGGTGTCAGGCCTTATAAGGCGGGGGTAGGCGTGGATAGATAGTTGACCCCCGCTCCGTGGGCGGCGGTGGAGGCGTAGGCTGGGGAATTCGAGAAGGTTCGGTGCTTGTAGGGGAGGAATCCACTACACCCTCACCACCCAGCTCTCTCTACTCAACGCTTATTACCATGCTACCTACCCAGCAACAAGCTGCATTGTACATCCAATACAATATGTATACAGTGAGCACATTGTGAGCTTCCTTTCTCCATACCATCCTGAGTGTGAACCAATATCTCATACTCCTACAACCATTCACACACACATATATGCAAGTAAATCACTGTAGGTGCGCGTGATCTAGGTATATGCTGATAACCACAAGGAAAGAAGAAAACACGAAGTTCCCAAGCGCTTTCGTGTAATTCACATCTTCAGGGGTGAGTACAGACTGTCCTCACCCCTGAAGATGTGAATTACACGAAAGCGCTTGGGAACTTCGTGTTTTCTTCTTTCCTTGTGGTTATCAGCACACACACACACACACACACACATATATATATATATATATATATATATATATATATATATATATATATATATATATATATATATATATATATATATATATATATATACACACATTATAGAACTATTAAGTAACGTCATGTTTGTTTACATCAAGGTGGTCTCGTTGCTAGGCGTTGCTAGGGTCTCTTCTGTATGAACTGGGAGTGAGGTGAAGAACATGAAGATCAAGTTCCTCCTTCAAGTATGAGGTAAGGTAAACGAATATTGTACATACGAGAGAGATAAAAATGAGTAAATTTTTTGAAGTAGACAATCATGGAATATGGTGTTTTAAACACATGCAATAAGTGTATCTCATCAATCTGACTAACTTTCATTCTACTGTACAGTATATACTCGGTACTTCTGTCGCAAGTGAATAATAATGTGGATATTTATTTTTTTAGTTTTCACTAACTAGGGTCATATATCACCTGTAGTGGGCAGGGCATCAACGATGAAAGAAAATGCGGTAAATTTTTTCTTGCAGCACCGTTCACTTGTAGCAAGTTAAAAATGTATTTTTCTAGTGTATTTGTGTGTGCTGAGACCGAATATGACCTTCCTTTTTGGCGGAAATTAGCCCTTTTTTTTTAGCGATTTTTTTTCGTTTGACATTTCCCGAGAAAAAAAAGTGCCTAAGCGACTAACAATTACACAATAAAACACTAGAAAAACAATAACCAAACCTAACCTAACCTAACCTAACCTAATCTAACCTAACCTAACCTAACCTAACCTAACCTAATCTAACCTAACCTAACCTAACCTGACCTAACTTAACTGACTCTCACCATATGATGGAATCGCCTATTTCTTACCTTATTGGCCTGGTTCTTGTTCATCATTGCATTCTGGGATTCTTACACAACGCCACATATGTTGGTCTTTGCGATATTTACATTCAGTCTTGCTCTTAGTACACTTTACTGAGGTTGGAAGAACACCATGCGACCGAAAAAATGCTATAGTTTCTTCGTTTTTTTTTCAAAAACTGGCAATCAGCTCCATATACTTTAAGTGACACCCATCGCAGACTTCCATGGTCGGAACTGAACTTTAATTTCAAAATATGAGAGACCAAAAAGAACACTCGAATTTGATTGGGCCAAAAATACCGCGAATTAAACCCAAAAACATTTTAATTGGTTTCAAAATAAAAAAGGCTTTTGATTGGCCGTGTGACATGTATAGCAACGCATGCGTAGGATGATTTATGAAGGGGACGCAGGAGACACGCAGTGTTGGAGGAGAAGCAGACGATAATGGCGGGATATTAATGGAAGAAAATAGAAAATATTTTGGAAGCGCTATCTCTGTTATTACACATTTCCGCCGGTAATGTAATAGATGAAAATTATCTTATAATTTGACGTCTTATTCGAATATGATAATAGATTAGTGGTAGGAATGAACGGTGCTACAAGAAAATAATACCGAAATTGCAGGTTAAAACACCATGGAAAACTAATCATATGACACTAAAATGATGGGTAATATTGCAGGAAACGGCAATTGATAGAACTATTTTTTCTAGGATCATTTTCTTATATTACACTTACGTCGCAAATTGATGACAAGGGAGTCCGCCCCCGACTAATGCCACCAGAGTTCCAAGGGCGGAGCCCCTGGCTAGGGTGTTAGGTAAGGTTAAGTTTGGTTATATTGTAAAAGCTAGTAAGCACAGAGTAATGGTAATTCAGAACACCCAATCGATAGAACTATTATTTCTACTATTTTTTCGTAAATAACAGAATTTCTGTTGCTTAATGTGTTTTTCTGATGTTTTCTTGTTGTAATTCAGACAATTTTGGAATTTGCTTCTATCACAAATCACTCGTTATGGCTCACCTCCACCCAGAACCCAGATTTCCCACGCTTTCCCCCATTATTGTTAGAGGGAGGGCCCCCCTCCCCCCTCCAATCCAAAATGAGTGAATTCCAATGAAGAGAATGTCAGATTTGAACCATTCTCATCAAAAACCAAGATAAAAACACTTTTTTTTTAAGATTCTTTGGCTGCTGTAATCTGTAATTTTACCAAATGAAGTCTCTATGTGCTTTGTATGTGAAGAAATTAATTATTTACCTTAAATACTCCTTGAAAAATCTGTCAAGTCAGTACGTGGGTTAATATTGGTGACTGACCCGCCGACGAGTTATTTGTTTTACTGATTATTTTTTTACTTTATTTGCATCAGTGATTTCTGATATGATAATCATTTTTTGTGGAAATACTTCGTTTGGTGGATAATTAGGCGCCTAGGTGCGCACTTCTTTGTCATCTTAGCGGTAATGAGGCCACACTCTAGAGAGGAGTCGTCTTTTCCTCACGGCAGTTTCATTTTCAGCATTACGTGTGAAAGTTGTTGCCGGCCTTATATAGATGTAATTTGCGAATTTAGGGATAAAGACAACGAGACCCTTCAGTTTTTCAAAGGCCACGGCATCATTCCTTTAAGTAGAAAGTATTATTCACAGCAGTACTGTGAAATTGAACTGGGTTTGTGTGCTAAGTCAGTTGTTGATTGGAAATGATCATTCATCACTTCCTCGCTGCCGTGGCTCGTGTTTCCCGCCATCTAAATAACAAATCACTCCGCCACCCGGACTGCATAAGCGCTGATGCTACCGGATGATCTCACGTCCAGAAAAAACCTCAAACTACACCCTTTCATTGTAAGTTCTTTCTGTTTAATATACCGGGGGGTGAGGAGGCTCATCAATAATTACCAGTACATGTGGTAGATAGCTCACTTTCTTTACAACCGACCTACTCAGTCCGAGCATGCTCACACATCCACAAAAGACTTAAAATTACACCATGATGCTTCAACTAAGTTGCTTTCATTGGTACCAGATATGAAAATAAGTACTACTTCTCTTTAATATGGCAGAGGGTTAGCCCCTGTCTAGGAAGCTAGGTAAGGTTTGGTAGGTTTCTTTGGTTTATTAGGTCAGATTATATTAGGTTCATTACTATTCACTTGCAGTAGAAGTGTATAGAATAAAAGTTAGTCAGAATGATTCTGTGGTTGTATGAAAGTAAAATTTTACAAAAGTGAAGTAATGTTGTAGGAAACAACTAACATCAAAAGTAGTTGTATGATTTTGTTAATTTTTATTTTTTACCCGTTACTATGTATCACCTAAACAACAACTGTGAAAAAAACACAGGATATAAGTACGCCAAAAATCGCACAGGATATGGGTACGGCAGCCGTGTTGACAGACTGTGGTGTTAATAGTGAGGTTAGGTTAGGTTGTATTTATTAATGAGATCTTCACTTAAAATTTTTCATAGGAAATTATTTAAAAAATGCTGCAATTTCACTGTGCTTTGTAGTGGACACTATCATAGTTTGGGCAAATGCGCTAAAGAGTGGATATTTTAAAATTAACCTAACCTAACCTCATTTGATAAAAAAACAAGCTACAGAAGTGTTGTTGGAAGACTGCACCAACGTAACCAAAGAAACCTACTTAACCTAACTTCCTAGTCATGGGGCTCCACCCCCAGACCCCCCAGCATATTGTTATGTCGGGGCATAATTTTGTATTATAATTTTGTAAACTAGGTATTTTGTTTGTTTTCTGTCCCATGCAGTAGCTATTTTGGCAAATGTAATGAAATTTTCCTGTACAGCATATATTGATGCATTTATTATATAAGAATATTCTAGAATGTATTGCATCATTTTTGTTATGATTATAAGCCTCGATCAGAGTAAAACGTTCTAGAATCTCCCAGGTGTCACTGGGTTATTTTAGGATGTTTGAGAAGCATCTGACGAGGCGTATATAAGCGGGCGTGTGCTACCTAGGAGTGAGTTGCACGCCCCTGTTCTTGGTGTAAAGACTATGCCTAGCAGAACGACTGAAGACATTGGTTGCGCAAGTATTGTGGAATTGTTGTGATTAATATAAAGTGAGAAGACTAAGGAATTGTACACTGGGGTAATGTGCTTACTATACTGTATACAGTATTCAAAGTGTGGAGTCAAACTGTGAACACCTTACCTTGTTGACAGTGTTATGAAGAATTGGTCTTTATTAAAGAAGACTACAGTGCACAAGTATGTTTCTGTGACCTGGTGGAAATCTACCTTCCTGTTTTTTATCTGTACACTGGGAAGTTACCGGGGACTGGCAGAACAGCCAGTGGTAATTCAACAACACTTGAGAGAGATCTAGTGCTTCTGTACATACGACCCTAACCGCTGGTAACCAGTGGTGGAAGCTGGGTAAGCAGTGAAAGGGGGAGGGTCGTAAGAATATTAAACATAAAGAACTTGCTGTGATATGGTATGATTTTATGTTTTTTGTGGCTGTGAGAGCAGCTGGACTTAGCGGCTCATAAACGTACACTGAGTGTAGGCGTAGATTGGGGCGCCAGCTGAGCACAGTAGAGAGCGCCATGGAGTATTTTGAAATAAATCAATATGATTGGTTGTTTACATCTGGGATGTGGTATCACCGCCGAGAAAGACAAAGTAGTGCGTGTCCAGGCACCTAATTATCTACCAAACAGAGCATTATAGTAAGAAAAGAAACATGAAAACAAATAACGCTGCAGTGGTTATCTCGTCAATATTAGCCGGGTAGATTACGGGTTAAAATTTGTTTTAGGTCTACCATGGAACTTCGTGTTTCTACTTATACAGTATAGGGACAAAGAGCAAAAGAAAGAAAGAAAAATACTTTATATTATTAAGTTTCCGGCACAAATTTATATTTTGAGAGTATTTTAGACTTTTCGATTTCACACAGGAAATTATATTTTGGAGCGAGACACTGTTTCCATCCGACTCATCTCTATAACAGCTTATTTCCAACAAAAATTAAAGTCATATTCTTTTGAAACAACACAAAATACACACACACACACACAAAACAATTTTGTTATTAATTTCCATATTTAACCTAAAATGAATCTTTACTTTTTCATTTTTAGGTCTAACATGGAATTTCCTATTTCTCTTTATATAGGGAGAAAGAGCAAAAAGAAAAAGACATGTTCTATTAAGTTTCTACTGCAAATTTATATAACCGATATTTCACCCCAATTACCAACAATATTGGTTGTTCAAAGTGGGCAGGACTTTGAAGTTGATAAAAAATGTGGGGTAAAATATTAAAATTAATACCAAAGAATCCTTTTAAAACCTCACCTGATCTATAAAAAGGTTAAAAATCACTTTCCAGTTTA